AGAGCCAAAAAATGGATTTAAATATTTTCATTTGAGCAAAATTTGAATTTAGATTTATCCAGATGTAAATGAGGATACAAAAATGATTTTGGAGATATCAATTTATACCACCATTGGAAATGCTCTTAGTTATTAGATGGGCTAATATTGACGCAAAACCACGTTGGTGGTGTGAATTATGTAATAATGATCTTTACTTTTCAAATTTTATTGGAAATTATGCTCTTTAATACATTAAAAGAAGTTATTTTTTGCTCTTGCTGTGTACTTTATTTCTTTTTTCTCATGGAGTTGTGATGTCTAATAATTTTTTCACTGTTTTTCGTTCTTATATATACACAGGAGCACTTAACAAGACGGCGGTCCAGAGCCGAGAAGAAGTGTAAGTTCCATTTGCACTAAAATTCCATTACATAGTGAATTCATTTCGATGGTTCATAGTTTAGTGTCTATAGTCTTGTATTTGTATTGCAAGTCATGTTGGTAACGCGCTTTACAAACATGACTTGAGATACAAAAAGCAGACTATCTATCTAAATAACTCGAAACATGACTTTGGCTAAGTGCGTGTTTGATTGATCTTAAAAAAGTAAAGTAATTGGTTTTATTTTTATTTTTATTTGATAATTTAATTTTCTCTTGCTCATGAAGCTTTATTTAACTTGATTATTACTTTGCTTTGAAAACAACAGCTTCCGTGCAAGTTGCATTTTCACATGGAGTTGCATCAAATTCCATAAGGTCATTTGGCAAGCAAAGGGAAAGGAAGGATGATCAATGCAATGTTACAGGATTTAGAGATTTGGCTTCTGATGGCACGGAGATCCCTGTCAATATGCTGCCAATGGATGCAGATATTCGTGAAAATTTTACAGATTCGACCAGCACTTCACTTTCGAAGAAAAAAGGAGAATACAAAGAGCCTTGGGTAATATATATGTCAATACACTCCCTCAACCCTGACCCCGGTTGGTTCCAAAGGTTAATCTGTTACATAGGATACCCAATCTTCTTATAAACACAAAATAATTTGCTTGGCCAGCTGATGTTGGACATTTGTTCACGTATCTACAACCCCCACCAAAAAAAAAAAGAAAAGAAATAAGAAATAAACATGTGACTGACTATTG